TTCAACAAAAACAGAGCAGAGGTCTCTTCACACCGGTGAGTGCAGCTTCTGCATTCAGTCACATCATGAAACATATGAACAACTTTCACTCTTCAACACACAATTAAAACAAATGGACCATTTGTGATTGTGAGTCCTTGATATGCTTTTGGAGTCTTAGAGGATTTTCAACACTGTGTTGTTGCCACATTGTTAAAGTTGGGAAACATCACATTGATCATATTACCCATGATCCCCGGCTTCCTGAACCAGCTTCTTCTTCTACTCTGTATAAAAGCTGCTCAGCATCACAGCCGTACAGATGATTGCTGTGACATCGCATTTTACAGCCCAGACAATTAAACTGCATTTTTCTCTCAATCTGACATTCGAGCTGTCAAAGGCTTCCATCATCACAGCAATCAGCCTTCATCCGGTTGCTACTGCGTGCACGTACACACTGACCAGTATGTAGAAGAGTTGTGTGTCGGTGAAAGACAACAAAGAGAGGGAGAACCTTCGTATTTTGAAGCCAGCAACTGGAATCATTTGAGGATTCCAAGATAACACATTAACCACAAGTTTATGTCTTTTAAACCACAGGTGCAGACTTAAAAATCGATTACAGGCTCGTTGGTTGTCACACAGGCAGAACTCTTATTTTTAAACTGTCTCCAGACGGTCTCTTGAATGTTTGCTGCAAGAGTTGTGGAGCCTTTTGTTCGACGGCAGCTGCTCACCTCGAGGGATTTAAAATGGTGCGTTTGATGGAGGACAGACAGTTCAGACACTGTGCTAAACGTCAATAAATCATCCTTGGGTCTGTACACGGCCCAGTGAAAATCAGCTGCTTGGCAGGACTGTGACTGTCACTAAAATTCAGTTCAAAATCTACCTTCATTACCACATTGTCAACAATCACAGAACGAGACACTTTTCAGGAAAGACGTCCAATTAAACTGTTCAATCAGGTCACTGTCATTTGTTGAGAAATGAAAATGTGCACGGAAAATTCAAGAGTTTCCATCACTCGAAAATAGAAACTTGTCATGAATTCCTTTTCCCTCTGCGTGTGTGTGTCTGTGTGTGTCTGTGCCTCCTGCTCGGTTTCACTCTGTTGTATCAGATTTTAAACATCAGCATCAGGAAAATAAATCATTCATTAACTCCAAACCCCCTGACTGCTGCAGAACTGTCATCCCCACACACAATATGTGGCCTGGTTTCCCTCCAGCAGCCTCAGACGAGGCTCGTCACTGCCTGTTACAAAGAGCTATACGTTTATTTATAGTGGTGCATGACGAGTGCTGACAAGTTGAATATCTCAGGAGAAAATCTTCCTCGATTTGACGTTGAAAAGTCGAGTAGGTGTGGCACATGGTGATTAGTCCCGCTTGGCCCTGAACCAGAACCAGTGAATAATAATTGAATCTTGTCGCAATGAAGCGTCATTCACAGACAGTGTCGAGAGAACAGGTCGGATTTTTATGGATTCTGATATCTGATATATGTATCCAGGCTTTCTATTAAGCTAAGCTAACTGGCTATGGTGTAGTTTCAGGCCAACAGCACCGATGTAATTCTGGGGAACCACAGCTGTGTTTTAAAAAACTGCTGAACTGCTTCTTAATGAATATTAATTGAATCAATTGTCCACGATAGAATCCACTGTGACAATCAAACAGAGTTTAATGAATGAAATGTGCGATTCAATACACTCATGAACAAAAATCAGCTTGATACACAACCCCAGTGTGTGTGTGTGAGCGTGTGTGTGCAAGAGGTCGTGTGAATTATACGTTTCGTATATGTACCAGTAGAGTAGTGCAGACTGAGAAGCAGGCATGCCGGGCAAGTAATGAATCACCAGGGTAACGTGTACGTGTCAATATTTTTGCAAATATTCTGAACCGTATGTACAAAACTGAAAATCTTGTTATTCATCGTCACATCATCGAATAAAAAAACCTGGTGTCACAAACGTTCTTGACTTAAGGAAACTCCGTGACTGTGCTTGTTTATAGATGCTTTCATGAAGCTGCTCATTTCTTTACGAAGGTGATGAGTTGGTAAAAATAAAAAGTTGTCACCTCCATTCTCTTTTGAAATGTTTGGCTTAACAGTAACAATGAGGTAAAATCCTGCAACCACAACATCATCACACATTTCAGGAGCGGGATCATTCATCTGCAACATTTCAAATGAATCGTACCGACTGCATCTGTTTATGCAGACACACAAACACACACTGAAACATCAGGACAACTACATCACAGATTATGTGGGATTCTTAGCCAATATACTGTGAGTATCGTACTGTACATTCAAGGCCGAGTATGATGCCAGTCTCTGAGCTAATGTACACAAACATTTACAGCTTACACGATGTTCGTTTAGGTCGACAACCTCCAGCGAAAAAATGAAATAAGACGTGTTGTTGAACGCACCACGCATTGGGCCACTAGACATTTCCTCATTGAACTACGTTGCCTGCTGACTGGACACTGGAGCTAGAAGAACCTGATAGAAAGTACAATAAGTCATCATCGATATCCTCATCATCTTCATCTTCATCTTCATCGTTGTCAGGTCTCTTCTTTGTCTTCTTCATCTCTCATAATCCTCATCCCAGGAATCCACTGAAACCGGCTCAAGAAACCAAATCACACACAAACATTTTAAAACCGAGCCAAACAAAATAAAGTACATTGTCACTGTCAGTTTTGTTGCTCCTCCTCGGTCGAAGAAAATCTTGTCCAAAATGTCTTTTTGAAATTTTTTTGGCAAGGTAACTTTCCAATTTTCCCCCTTTACCTCTCCCTCAGTCCAAACCACAGTTCAGCGCTGCTGTAGACTTCAGAGTCTGATCGGAGGCGGCAGCAGTCCATCATCGCTGGAGGAGCAGGGCGACCAATGGGAGCAGGAGTGGGAGGCCGGTGTGAGACGTGGCCGCGCCTTGGACTCGGTTGTTTTCTGGCGAGTAGGCGTACAATCCCGGCCTGCTCCGAGGACAATGTCCACCCACGCACATCCCGCTTCCAGAGCCGCTGATGTCTTCACCTAGGGTGATGATCAGAGAGGGAGGACAGAAAATACATTTTATAAGAGACATTGAATTGTGTTTTTAAAGAAACATCACCTTTAATTTTCCTTAAAAAGCTCCTACTCTCTAATTAGGAAGTGGTAATTATTGAAAAATTGAATCAATTTGATTGTTTGGATAAAGTTTAACTGGGAGTATCTAGTTCTCAGTTAACACTGGTTCAACACAGACAATCAGGCAATTAATAAATCAATCAATTGTCATAGAGACAAACATAAATAGTGTGAAAAATCATTTGAAAAAGACGTACTTGCATCCTGGAAGTCCACGTCGTTACCATCCATGGCGTTCTTCAGCCTGTTGCTCATGATCTTAAGTTGCATGATCTGCTGGCGGATCGTCATGTCTGGCTTTGTGATGTCGAGCTCCACTTCTGGGTTGTTGATCTGATTGGCCAGGCCATCGCCCATCGCCTCTGGAAGATATCTGTTTGGAGGAGAGAAAGGACAGGGGCGGGACGTGAGGCTCAAAACTTTACTATGGCATTATATATAGTATTCACCTGTGACATTTACTGAGCTCTCTTGAAAACCACTAGATGTCGCTGTAGCTCTTCAAACAGCTCATCACAGCAATGATTCACTCTCTGCCACACACACCAACACACACACACACACACACACACTATATTTCATGCTGTATATGACTGTCATATATTTCTGGTGCACTCTGCTCAGGATAAATCTCATCACTTGGCTTTAATCCAAGGGTGTGAGGTGTGTGTGTGTGTGTCTGTGGTCTATGTTTGTATGTGTGTGTGTGTGTGTGTGTGTGTGCGTGTGTGTATGCACAGAGGGGGGTATGAATAACAGTTTTGCGTGTCAACATGGCATCAAATTGTTCTATAATCCATTTATACATGGATTAATGGAGGCTGAAACAAACAACGGGGGGTGGGAGGTGGCCATGAATGCTTGTGTTGAAGGATGTGAATGTGGAATAAATTTAAACTCAGAATAAATTCCCGTACACAACCATTTTCATCTCGTCTGAGAGGAAACAGCGTCTTGTCTCTGGCAGAAACTGCATCACAGCAGCTTCATCGTGAGCTTCTCCTTCACTCTCTCCCCTTCAATCTTTTAGCTGTTTGGTGTTAGAGAGCAGATGCTTTCTATTTGTTATCGACATTTCTATTCTTTGCAGCATGAATGCAACTAGTGCAGAAGAGATTTCAGAACAGGGAAGTGCTTTATTCAACACTTTAAAGGTGGAGGAGGGAGGGATGAACTTCTGTTGAACACTTATCTCACTTCCTACAAATGTAATGGATGAAAAAGTAGAAAGAAACTCGTGCCTCAGTCGAGTCCCTTTAAATCCAATCAAGCTGCACCAAATTGCAAACACTCATAGATATCAGACCCATGAATCTATTCATCAGGATACCTGAATTATTCCCTGGAAAAAAAAGGTGACATCATCAAAGCATGACCCATCTTGCAACGTTAAAAATGGTGAACACCTTTTTTCATGTTATGTCAATCTCAGGGCTGGTTGCTCCTTCCACGCTTGTTTCTTCATTGTTACGTTTCCGCTTGGTTTGTTTATCCAAGTCACAACTACGCTATGAACTTTGGGTAATACCCATTGGAAACGTCGGACTCACAGACACAAAGGGATCAGAAAGTTGTTCAGTGGGTCCTCACGCTCTTTAGCCCTCCATGATTTAGCAGAATTGCAACTCAAAGCCTGTGAGCCCCTGAGGCTGAACATTGGCACTCGGCCTGTGTCTTGTTCTGTCTTCCTCACCTGGCTTTGGTGATGCCGTTCCAGCATTTATCCTGAGCGGCGCCTCCTGCTGCCAGTTTGCTGCAGAGTGCCACCGGGAGCTGGACCCAGTACTGTCTCATCTCCCTCAGTTTACTGGAGAGGTCCGATACCTGAGGACAGGAAACATCCAGGAGTGAGGAAAAGTTTTTGTCTTGAAATTCACAGGTGCCAAGAAAGTCATAAAGTGTTTTCATCACATTCAAAATGTACAAAAAACACATTTTTATAACCACATGTGCTGTAACTACTCACTCACTTTTAAAAGGTTCTTTTTTAATAAATCCTTTTAAGGAGCTTTTACTTTTAGTGTGTATCATGTGCATGCACGCACCTGCATCTCCAGCCTGAGCCCAGCAGTCGGCGAGGGTTTGTACTCGGAGGCCGTCAACGAGCCGCTCTTCCTCTTCTGCTCGTGAGGGGCGGGACTTCCTGTGCCTGGTTCCCCTGGCGATCCACATGACTGGTAAACCTACACACAGGCAGACACACACATACAGTTCAACACAAGCTGTGGCGGTGACTTGAAGCGACCTCACACACCTCTGGTCTGATTTACTACTCTGCACGACAACAAATGTGAGTGCTTAAATGATCCACTAGATGTCACCATAGACAAACATTTCAAACTATAAGGTTGCTTGTATTTATTTACAAACTGTAAGAACAAGTGGCTGAGGTTGTTGATGGACGTACTTGTCCGATAATAAGCATCGACATACACAAAGGCTACAGTATGGACGTTTCATAAATTATGGGGGTTTAGCAGCATACTAATGTTGCCTCGTGACATTTGAAGGATAGAAACCGATGGAAATTAGAGCTGACAGGTTAAGGCCAGCACGACTGGAGGACATTATTGAGCTCCATTTCTACATAAGCACTTTTTAAGGATAAACATTTTGTTTCTGAATGATTCTGCATTTTCCCAAATGATCTTGGAGGTGGATTTGACTGCAGACAGAAGCAAGAGCTGGCATCTTACTGGAGTTCAAACGCTCCCTGGGAAATGTGCTCGGGTGCTCGTCTATAGTCAGAGTGAGCGAAGAGACAAACCGAGCTGATGACTTGATTCTTACTTTGGCTGTGAACGTGTCCATGTTTTCCTGCTGGTAGTGAACGGCCTCGTAGATCCGAGCAGGGATGGAGGAGAGAACCACGTCGAGGCTGGGCTCTGTGGTGAAACTGGCCACCACCTGGATCATGGTGTCTGTGGAGAGGAGAGGAGAGGAGAAAATTCAGATCACACCCAAAACATTTCTCTAGGAAATAAAACTTCAATTTACATATTACACAGTATTATTACTTCAAAAACTACTAGACGGAGTACCACAAACTTGATGGAAGGACTTGTTATAGGGCAGGAAACTCAAAATTGTGTTGCAGATCTTGATCAGGGGGCAGATCCAGAAAAAAGTATTTTCACATTTTCTTTGTTTTCTCAGGAAATGATAAATTGATCTTGATAGTAAAAAAAAAAAATCTGGCATATTTAGGGGACTGATATTTTATGAGTGTGTGAAATTTGGAGCAGCTTGATTGAATCCAAGGAGACTATTGGGCCTTAGTGGAGGACTGAGTGTCATTCTAGTTATAAGTGATACTGAAAAAGAAAACAAGTCGTATGAATAATTAAATAGTCATTTAAATAGTTTCTCACACTTTGAAACGTATTCGGCAAATTTTAACTGAGACTCAGAGATTTTATGGAGAGATATTAACATTAATGTGCTTTGAAATTCAATGTGTGTGGTCATTAATGTGTATAGTGTTATTGCTTTGATCCCTGTGGTCGAGTTCTGCTTTATGTGTGATTATAATTTACCCTCAGAACATTTCAGTATCTTAATGTCTGTGGATAAACATATTGTAAATTGCTTGTTTCAGCCTGATGAACATCTGTTTATGAGGAATATAAAATAGCCATACATGACCATCTGTTCCACGATCAACAGAATAATTCTTTACACTGGGTTTGTGCTGCGAGATATTTTATTTGAGTAAGTTAGTCTTCTTCTAATCTTTGAGGTTTTTCTCCTGTGTTTCGACTATTTGACGTGACTGGTACAAAGGATCTGCACCAAGAGAAAGTTCATACGTGACACAGGTTTTCTTATCGGCCACAAATCTGCTCAGAGTGGTTTAAGGATGAGATCCAGTGTTGGTTCCAGGATTCCTTCTGAATCGTACCTATGAGGTTCTGCCACTCGGTGTCCAGGTCGGCTTGGTTGGCCAGGCAGCCCTTCATGACGTTGGAGCAGTAGTTGGAGCAGGGTTTGACGGAGCTCAGGCCGCGACAGTGAGGGCAGTAAACCAGCTTCATCAGGGCCTTCGTACACTCTGCACTCAGAGAGACCTGGTGGAGGTGAAGAGGACAGTCAGAAAACCTGATGATGGTCACTCATAACAGGATATAAAGATCTCTGGGACAAGACAGAAGCGCAGAGGGCGCTTAGAGGAGATACAGCCTGAGGAAGACGGCGATGATAATAGCTTATCTTGTCTGTCTTTCATCACTACATGGATTCTGTTACACTTTCTGATCATTCACACACGTGATGAAAGGTGTCCAGTTCCACAGTCGTTCTACCTCCACCCCTCTGACGGGGGATTCTCCAAACCAAACAAAACTCCAAAGTAAGAGCAGGAGCTCAGGAAATTGATGGTATGTATGAAAGTTTCAAACTTAAATCAATCCTATAGACTTTTAGACTTTTAGAAGTTTGGATGCTTTTCCCCTTTATGCAGTTTTTAAAAGCGTCGTAAAGAATCCATTCCTGTCAACATCCAGTCTGCGTCGATTTGTGTCAGCGTTACATTATTATTGCTCAGTAAAGTGCGGATCAATTCACGAAGTCTGCATCATAACAATAATGCAGCTTTGACAAAAAATGGATGCAGACTTCACCGTGATGGATGACAACAGAGGGGTTCATAGAGATTATATATAAGATTAGATATATTAGTTATTATTAGATTGGTTATTCAAAAGGTTATTAATAGGAGATAAAGTAGAACAGATGGGGAGTCTCAGTAATCACACTGTAATTTGACATCATCAGTGTCACCGCTCTAAATGAGAGCTTTGTTCTGAGGACACGTTCAATTTTTGATGATCTTTGTTGTTCATTTTTAGGGTGGAGACATTTTTCTCCTTCTGACAGTTATAGGGTGTGACACATCCAACACATCTGCTTTCCTGGGACTCAGCCAAACACACACACACACACACACACACACACACACACACACACACACTCAGAGTCACTCACCTGCGACACCTTCCTGACCACCTCTCCGCTGACTATCAGCCCCTGGACAAACGACCGGGCTGTGACAAAAGCGCGGATCACCTTCGCCTTCATGTCCCGAGGGACGTCTCCAAATGGCCGCAGCGTCTCCTGTTGCTTAGCGACACATTCAAGGTAGTCCTCTGATAGGCTGACCTTGTAGACAGAGGTGACAGCGGCAGACACAATGAAGGAGAAGACTGTTATGAACAGACATTTAGGAATCACCTGATAAAGGATGGAGATCTGCTTTGCAGTCACATTCTCATTTATAACCACTCTCTGTCTGTGTGTGGACACCTCTGCGGGGGTGGAGGATTTGAACGTGCGCTCCAGAAGCCGGGACCAGAACTCCGACAGCGTCTCGTCCAGGTTGAGAGCAGAGCCCCGGTAGTACTGTCGCAGGTCGGCGTAGAGATCTCCATACAGGCGGGTGTTCTGGGAGTAGAGAGGGCCGAGTGGAGACAGCGCCTCCTGGAGGGAGCGCTCGGACTGACTGTGCAGCTCGGTGAAATAGGCTGGAGGAGAAAGAAGGAGAGCGGACAAAGGAAAAGATGGAAGGAGAAGAGTTGTGAGAGGGAAGCTGAAGATCACGCTCACATTTAACTTTTGAATTCTTCCTCAGGGTCATTACATCGATCTTTGAATGAACACACTTGACCAATCCTCAGTCTCACCTGTCAATCATCAGTTTTTTTACTTGAACAAACAGCAGGGTGATAACAACTCAGACAGAAAGCCTGTACTTTTAATTTTAGGCAACGTCCCATCCACTAACATGGAGGAGGCAGGATTTATGACCTGTACTGCGGCCAGCCACCAGGCGGAGATCGAGACGCTTTGGCTTCAGTTTGGGGAGCTGCCGTGTCTTTAATTCAGTCTATGATTCAAACCGATCCCTGTGAGGTTGTTGTTATTGACAGAATGACCACGATTTCGATTTTTTTATTTTTTTTAACGTTACTGTTCTTGAAAGATTCCTACACAATGTATTCATGTCAGTCGTGACTCTAATTTACTTTATTTACAACCCGACTCGATGCGAATATATTTCTCAGGTTTCTTTCCTCTGCTGCCAGATGGATTCAGAGTGATGCTGAGGTCGAACCCAGAGAATAAAGGAGTCAGCGCTGGAGTCTGGGCTTTTCCCTTTTTCTTCAAAGGCTGTGGACCAGTGCCAGCCTGTTCTAACCACAAGCAGATGGACGGCCACATTATTGCTACTGAGGTGGCCTGCTGCCTCCAGACTAATAATACTGTCCTCCTCTGACTACACCTCCTCCTCCTCCTCTTCCTCCTCCTGCTTCTCGCTCTCTCTCTCTCTTCCTCTTCTTTCTTTCCTCCCCTTTTGCATCTGGATTCTCTGTTTATTCTCAGTTGTAATCACACATTTCTCACTCGCTGTATTTGTCAGTCTCCCTGTTGTTATCGGTGGCACTTCTGGGTTTGTACCTCTTTTCTTCCTCCCTCCATCCCTCTCTTTCTCTGATGTGCAGTGATCTGCAGCCTCAGCTCCTCAGTGGGTCAACTGCTCATTAGCTGAACCAGCCACTGCCCCAGGGGGACACCCCTCTGTTTGTGTGTGTGTGTGTGTGTGTGTGTGTGTGTGTGTGTGTGTCCCTTAGAGATCAGGGGATCGGCTTATCACATTTCATTGTGTCTGGCTGACTCCGCTCTCATTATAACACCCAGTCAGGGGTCTCCTTGATGCACAGGACACACACACAGGACACACACACACACAAGACACACACACACACACACACACACACACACACACAACTGAAGCTGCAGAACTGAGCTGTGAGCACGGCCTGAGCTTGTACCAAACACAAACTCACAAATACACAACATACAAATGTCGCACTCCCCTGAGTTCAAGCTTTGCTATTGAGCTCAGCCTGTCATGAGTATTTCACACACACAAATATTCACAAATAAAAACTCTACTTACTGTCGAAGCTCCTGTGGAGGGCGTTGAAAGACGCCTGCAGCGACCTGCCGGCGTCTCTGATCAGCCCCTCGGTCTCTCGGGCCGTCAGACCGGCCAGATTCTCCTCCATGGTGCTGGTGCAGCAGGTCGGACCCTGAGGACACATCCTCAGATGTTCACCTGGCACAGTGGGGAAAAGAGAAAGTGTTAATTATTAATTTGTTTGCAATTTAATAATGAATTTGCTGATCATGAATGGAAGTGAATCAGTTTTCCAGTCTAATCGACCTCTCGTGTATCGATCTCATTTAGTGTTCCTATCCACGGTGCTTTTTCTATGCGGGCTGAGCCATCAGGGAGAACTTGGGTTTCAGTATCTTGCAATTTCGAATGCAGACCGAAGGTGCCGGGATCAAACCACCAACCTTCTGGTAAGTGGACGACATTTTACAGGACTAAAGTGTTTTGTCTGTAACAGACGCAGTAAAGAATGCTGAGAATAACTACAGCCGATAACTACAGCATGAGAGCGTGTCACACCAGACCTCAACCTGTGAGCTAATGTTGGAAAAAAAAGATCGTTACCATAAGAATATATAGAAATATACAGAACAGCGCTCGTCTTCAACATTTATTTTGACCTTTAGGGGATATGCAGGTTCATGTTAAGATGTTCTTCTACATAAATATAAGTGCACACACGAGAAAAGAGTCTGAAGCATCAGTCTCTTGACACACTAGATGCCTCAGGATTGTGTGGATGTGTATTTGTGTGTCCACATCTGGGAAGGTTAAGGGTGAGTAAGTACCCCACAGCTGTGTCTCTTCCCTCTTTAACAGGCCCCGTGATGGTGTGTGTGTGCATGAGTGGGTGGGGTGTGTGTGTGTGTGTGTGGATTTGGGGGCAGAATTTGTCGACTGTGGTAAGTGGAGCAGAAGAGTAGAGGCCTTCATCATCACAGCTCTATGAATCTTTCATTGGCACTTGCCGGTGGTACGTGTGTGTATATGTGTGTGTGTGTGTATATGTGTGTATGTGTGTGTGTGTGTGTGT